ATATCTCAGAAAATACCCAAAAATAACTTCTAAAATTACCCAAAAAGCCCCAAAAAAGCCTCAAAATTCCCCCAAAATCCTTCAAGGAGCTTCCCCCAAATCTCCCTTAAAAAAATAATTTAAAAATATTCCAAAAAACACCCCCAAAAAACTTCCCAAAAAATCTTAAAATTGCTGATGAAATAAAAAAAACCTTCATCAAAATTAACCCCGAAAATCATCAAAAAAAACCGCAAAAATGAACACAAAAATACCCCAAAAAACCCCTAAAATCTGCTCAAAATAACCAAAATCTCCCCAAAACCCCCCAAATTCCCCCTGAATCCCCAAAATTCCCCCCAAAAATCCCAAATTCTCCCAAAATCCCCCCAAAATCCCCCCCAAATCCCCCCCAAAACCCCCCAAGATCCCCCAAAATCCACTTATGGGGCAGCCCCACATCCCAAACCCCCAAACCCCCAAATCCTTTCAAGACCACCCAAAATCTCCCAAATCTCCCCAAAACCACCCCAAGCCCCAAAATCCCCTCCAAGTGTCCCCCAAACCCCACCAAAATCTGACCCCCCAAGACTCCCCAAAACTTCCCCTAAAATTACCTGGCGTACAGAATAAATAGACTCCCTAAACCCCCAAATCCCCAGGGGCCCCCAAGAAGAGCCCACAAGATCTCTGACTTTCTAGATCAGATCTTTGAGTCACGAGATCACTCTCAGGACGCGAAGATCCCCAGTCACCCTGGAGTCCCCCAGATTCCCCAAGGTTCCCCAGATCCGAGTCCCCAGTGCTTTAGGGTTAACAGGGTCCCCAGGTCCATCAAAGATCCCAGATCCACGAGATCCCACAAGTCCCCAGAGTCACAGGTCACAGAAGTCCCAAAGTCATCCAGAAGCTCCCAAGATCCCCAGGGTTCACAGGCCATCCTGGGTTCCCAGATCCCAGAGGTTCCCACAGGTCCCCAGGTCTCTAGGACCCCAAGATCCAGGCCCTCCAACCCCCGAAAAAACCTCAAATGCCCCCCAAAATCTCCAAATCCCTCCCAAACCCCCAAAATCCCGCCAAAACCCCCAAGACCCCAAATCCCCCAAACCCCCCTGGGCAATCCCCACCCCAGGGACCCAAACTCCCAAAATCCCCCAAATCCCCCAAAAACCCCAAATCCCCCAAAAAATCCCCCAAAATCCCCCCAAAATCCCCCAAATCCCCAAATCCCCCAAAATCCCCAAATCCCCAAATCCCCCAAACTCCCCAAAAACTCCCAAAATCTACAAATCCCCCAAATCCCCAAATCCCCCAAAACCCCCCAAAATCCTCCAAACCCCCAAAATCTCCCCAAGACCCCCAATCCCCCAAAAACTCCCAAATCCCCCAAAACTCCCAAATCCCCCAAAATCCCCAAATCCTAAGACCCCCAAATCCCCAAAATCCCCCAAATTCCCCAAAATCCCCCAAATCCCCCAAAAACTCCCCAAAGTCCCCCCAAATCCCCCAAAATCCCTCAAAATCTCCAAACTCCCCAAAGTCCCCCAAAATCCCCCAAAATCCCCAAACCCTCAAAACTCCCAAAATCTCAATGCCCCAAGATCCCCCAAATCCCCAAATCCCCAAAAGTCCCCAAAATCCCCCAAACCCCAAATCCCCTCAAAAACTCCCAAAATCCCCCAAATCCCCCCAAATCCCCCAAATCCAAAATCCCCAAAATCCCCCAAAATCCCTGAAAATCCCCAGAATTCCCAAACCCCCCAAAATCCCCCAAATTCCCCAAATCCCCCCAAAACCCCCAAAATCCCCCCAAATCCTCCCCAAATCCCCCAAAACCCCCCAAATCCCCAAAACTCCCAAATCCTAAAAACCCAAATCCCCAAATCCCCCAAAATCCCAAATCCTCCCAAAATCCCCAAAATCCCCCAACCCCCCAAAATCCCCAAATCCCCCCAAACCCCCAAAATTTGCCCAATCCCACCAGACCCCAAATCCCCTCCTGGGCCATCCACCCCAAAGTCCCAAACTCCCAAATCCCCCAAATGCCCCAAAGTTTCCCAAACCCCCAAATCCCCTCAAACCCCCAAAATCCCCCAAAATTCCCCCAAATCCCCCAAAATCCCCCAAAATTCCCAAAGCCCCCCAAATCTCCCCAAAACCCCCCCAAATCCCCAAAATTCCCCCAAAATCCCCGAAAATCCCCAGAATTCCCCAAACCCCAAAAATCCCCAAAATTGCCCAAATCCCCAAACCCCCAAATCCCCCAAATCCCTCCTGGGCCATCCCCACCCCAGAAACCCCAAACCCCAATTTGGGAGGTCCCCCAAAATCTCTTTTTTGGGCCTGTGTCGCCCCCGGAAGGTCGGAATTAAAAGCCCCCAACCTCGGCCCCCCTCTGCGGAGGGGACCGAAATGGAGACCCCCCCTCGAAAAAAACCCCACCTGGGGGGCACCAAACGGACCCTGAGACCCCCCAAAACCCACGGGTGGGGCTGGAAACGGAGGCAAAGACCCCAAAAAATCCGATTTTTGGGGCAGAAAACTCACTTGGAGGCCCCAAAAAATCAAATTATGGGGCAGAAAATGGACTTGGAAGCCCCAAAAGACCCTGAAAATGTCATTTATGGGCAGAAAGTGAAATCTAGACCCCCAAAAATCGACTTGTGGGGTAGAAAATAAAGTCAAGACCCCAAAAATGTCAATTATGGGGCTGAAAATGAACTTGGAGGCCCCAAAATGGACCTGGAGGCCCCAAAAATCAACTTATTGGGGCTGGAAAGCGAAGCTAAGACCCCAAAAAATGGAATTATGGGGCAGAAAATGGACTTGGAGGCCCCAAAAATGGACCTGGAGGCCCCAAAATGAAAAATGAACCTGGAGGCCCCAAAAATGGACCTATGGGGCCCCAGAAAATGAAGCTAAGACCCCAAAAAATGTCGATTGTGGGGTTAGGAAATGGACTTGGAGACCCCAAAAAATAAAAATCGTTTTTGGGGCAGAAAACTCACTTGGAGGCCCCAAAAAATCAAATTATGGGGCAGAAAATGGACTTGGAAGCCCCAAAAGACCCCGAAAAATGTCATTTATGGGGCAGAAAGTGAAGTCTAGACCCCCAAAAATCGACTTGTGGGGTAGAAAATAAAGTCAAGACCCCAAAAATGTCAATTATGGGGCTGAAAATGGACTTGGAGGCCCCAAAAATGGACCTGGAGGCCCCAAAAATCAACTTGTGGGGCAGAAAACGGAGTTAAAACCCCAAAAAATGTCAATTATGGGGCAGAAAATGGAGTTGAGACGCCGAAAAATCAACTTGTGGGGCAGAAAATGGACCTGGAGGCCCCAAAAATGGACCTGGAGACCCCAAAAATGGACCTGGAGGCCCCAAAAATGGACCTGGAGGCCCCAAAAATGGACCTGGAGGCCCCAAAAGACCCCAAAAAATGTCGATTATGGGGTAGAAAATGGACTTGGAGACCCCAAAAAATCAAATTATGGGACTGAAAATGGAGTGAAGACCCCAAAAAATGGAATTATTTGGGCTGGAAATGGACTCAAAACCCCAAAAAATGGAATTATTGGGGCTGGAAATGGACTCAGAACCCCAAAAAATGGGATTATTGGGGCTGGACATGGACTCAAAACCCCAAAAAATGGACTCAAAACCCCAAAAAATGGAATTATTGGGGCTGGAAATGGACTCAGAACCCCAAAAAATGGAATTATTGGGGCTGGAAATGGACCTGAAGGCCTCAAAAATGGACTTGGAGACCCCAAAAGACCCCAAAAAATTGAATTATGGGGCTGGAAATGTACTCAAAACCCCAAAAAATGGAATTATTGGGGCTGGAAATGGACCTGGAGGCCCCAAAAATGTCAATTATGGGGCTGGAAATGAAGCTAAGACCCCAAAAAATGGAATTATTGGGGCAGAAAATGGACTTGGAGGCCCCAAAAATGGACCTGGAGGCCCCAAAAGACCCCAAAAAATGGAATTATGGGGCAGAAAATGGAGATGGAGGCCCCAAAAAGTCAAATTATGGGGCAGAAAATGGACCTGGAGGCCCCAAAAATGGACCTGGAGGCCCCAAAAATGGACCTGGAGGCCCCAAAAATGGACCTGGAGACCCCAAAAAATCGAATTAAGGGGTTGGAAATGGATTTAAGACCCCCAAAAATCAACTTGTGGGGTAGAAAATGGACCTGGAGGCCCCAAAATCAGAGCCCCAAAAAATGAAATTATGGGGCAGAAAATGGACCTGGAGGCCTCAAAAATGGACTTGGAGGCCCCAAAAGACCCCAAAAAAAGTCAATTATGGGGCAGAAAATGGAGTTAAAACCTCGAAAAATCGAATTATGGGGCTGGAAATGGACCTGGAGGCCTCAAAAATGGACTTGGAGGCCCCAAAAGACCCCAAAAAAAGTCAATTATGGGGCAGAAAATGGAGTTAAAACCTCGAAAAATCGAATTATGGGGCTGGAAATGGACCTGGAGGCCCCAAAAATGTCATTTATGGGGCTGGAAATGAAGTCAAGACCCCAAAAATGTCAGTTATGGGGCAGAAAATGAAGTCAAGACTCCAAAAAATGTCATTTATGGGGCAGAAAATGGACCTGGAGGTCCCAAAACACCCCAAAAAATCGAAATATGGGGCAGAAAATGCACCTGGAGGCCCCAAAAATGGACTCAAAACCCCAAAAAATGTCAATTATGGGGCTGGAAATGAAGTCAAGACCCCAAAAACGTCAATTATGGGGAAGAAAATGGACCTGGAGGTCCCAAAAATGGACTTGGAGGCCCCAAAAAACCCCAAAAATGTCAGTTGTGGGGCTGAAAATGGATTTAAGACCCCTAAAAATGGAATTATGGGGCTGGAAATGGACTCAAAACCCCAAAAAATGGAATTATGGGGCAGAAAATGGACCTGGAGGCCCCAAAAATCAATTTATGGGGCTGGAAATGGAGTTGAGACCTCAAAAAATGTAAATTATGGGGCAGAAAATGGAGTTGAGACCCCAAAAAGTCAACTTGTGGGGCAGAAAATGGACTCAGAGACCCCAAAAATCAAATTATGGTGTTGAAAATGGAATCAAAGAGCCCTAAAATGTCATTTATGGGGCAGAAAATGGACCTGGAGACCCCAAAAATGTCATTTATGGGGCAGAAAACGGAGTTGAGACCCCAAAAAATCAACTTATGGGGTAGAAAATGGACCTGGAGGCCCCAAAAACGGACTTGGAGGCCCCAAAAGACCCCAAAAAATCGAATTATGGGGCTGAAAATGGATTCATACCCCCAAAAATCAACTGGTGGGACTGGAAATGGATTCAAAGACCCCAAAAAATGTCAATTATGGGGTGAAAAATGGACTTTGAGACCCCAAAAATTCACTTTTAAGGCAAGAGAAGGACTCAGAGACCCCAAAAAAGCCACTTTTGGGGTGAAAAATGGACTTTTGAACCCTAAAAAAGCCACTTTTGGGGTAAAAAATGGACTTTTGAACCCTAAAAAAGCCACTTTTGGACTCGAAAATGGATTTTAAACCCTAAAAATTCACTTTTAAGGCAAGAAAAGGACTCAGAGACCCCAAAAAGCCACTTTTGAGGTCGAAAATGGACTTTTGAACCACCAAAATTCACTTTTAAGGCAAGAAAAGGACTCAGAGACCCCAAAAAAGCCACTTTTGGGGTCAAAAATGGACTTTTGAACCCTAAAAATTCCACCTTTGAGGTCGAAAATGGACTTTTAAATCTCCAAAATTCACTTTTAAGGCAAGAGAAGGACTCAGAGACCCCTAAAAAAGCCACTTTTGGGGTAAAAAATGGACTTTTGAACCCTAAAAATTCACTTGTGGAGCAGAAAATGGATTCAAAGACCCCAAAAAATTCACTTTTAAGGCAAGAGAAGGACTCAGAGACCCCAAAAAAGCCACTTTTGGGGTAAAAACCGGACTTTTGCACCCCTAAAAAAGCCACTTTTGGGGTCAAAAATGGACTTTGAACCCTAAAAATTCACTTTTGGGGTCGAAAATGGACTCAGAAAACCCCAAAAAATTCACTTTTAAGGCAAGAAAAGGACTCAGAGACCCCAAAAAAGCCACTTTTGGGGTAAAAACCGGACTTTTGAACCCTAAAAAAGCCACTTTTGGGATCAAAAATGGACTTTGAACCCTAAAAAAGCCACTTTTGAGGTCGAAAATGGACTCAGAGACCCCAAAAATTCACTTTTAAGGCAAGAAAAGGACTCAGAGACCCCAAAAAGCCACTTTTGGGGTAAAAATGGATTTTGGGACCCAAAAAAGCCACTTTTGAGGTCGAAAATGGACTCAGAGACCCCCAAAATTCACTTTTAAGGCAAGAAAAGGACACAGAGACCCCAAAAAAGCCACTTTTGGGGTGAAAAATGGACTTTTGGGACCCAAAAAAGCCACTTTTGGGGCAGAAAATGGACTTTTGAACCCTAAAAAAGCCACTTTTGAGGTCGAAAATGGACTTTTAAATCTCCAAAATTCACTTTTAAGGCAAGAAAAGGACTCAGAGACCCCAAAAAAAGCGACTTTTGGGGTCAGAAAATGGACTTTTAAACCCCAAAAATTCACTTTTAAGGCAAGAAAAGGACTCAGAAAACCCCAAAAATTCACTTTTAAGGCAAGAAAAGGACTCAGCCAAAAAAAGCCACTTTTGGGTTAAAAAATGGACTTTTGAACCCTGAAAATTCACTTGTGGGGCAGAAAATGGACTCAAAGACCCCAAAAATTCACTTTTAAGGCAAGAGAAGGACTCAGAGACCCCAAAAAAGCCACTTTTGGGGTAAAAATGGACTTTTGCACCCCTAAAAAAGCCACTTTTGGGTCAGAAAAAGCCGATTTTGGGACCTCCCCCCCCCCCCCCCCCCCCCCAAAGGAAAAGCCTTTTCTGGAAGTGGGGGAGGGGCTCCCGTGGGGGGGAGGGGCCTGGAAAGGGGGAGGGGCAGAGCTTGCGTGGCCACGCCCCGATGGATGACGTCACTCCCCTTCTGGCCCCTCCCCCTCCCCCCCAGGCCACGCCCAAAGGGTTCAAGAGGAAGATCTCGGTGCTCTGTGAGTGGGGCGGGGCTTAAACCAGGGGCAGGGGCTTAAACCAGAGGGTGGGGCTTAAACGAGGGGCGGAGCTTAAATGAGGGGGTGGGGCTTAACTGAGGAGGCGAGGGCTTAAGGAGGGTGGGGCTTAAAGGAGGGGCGGGGCTTGAAAAGGGGTGGTGGCTTGAAAAGGGGCGGGGTTTGGAGAGAGAAAAAGGGCGGAGTCTGGAAATTTGGGGAAAATTTGGGGAAAAAATGGGAGAAATTTGAAGAAAAAAATGGGGGAATTTGGGAATATTTGGGGGGATAATTTGGGGGGAAATTTAGGAAAAATTTGGGAGGAAAATGGGGAAAATTTGGGGGGAATTTGAGAGGAAAAAGAGGGAAATTTTGGGGGAATTTGGAAAATTTGGGGGGAAAATGGGGAAAAAAATTAAGGGGTAAATCTGGGGAAAAAATGGAAGAGTTGGGGAAAATGTGGGAGGAAAATGGGGAAAATTTGGGGGAAAAAATGGGGAAATTTGGGGGAAAATTTAGGAAAAATTGGAGAGGAAAATGGGGAAAATTTGGGGAAAAAATGGGGGAATTTGGGAAAATTTGGGGGGAAAATAGAGAAAAAAATTAAGGGATAAATCTGGGGAAAATGGAAGAGTTGGGGAAAATGTGGGAGGAAAATGGGGAAGATCTGGGTGAAAATTTGGGAAGAAAATGAAGAAATTTGGGGGAAAAATGGGGGAAAATTTAGAGGAAATTTGGGAGGAATTGGGAGGAAAATGAGGGGAAAATTTGGAGGAAAATTGATGGAGAAATTGGGAGGAAATAAATTGGGGAATTTGGGAAAATTGGTGGGAAATTGAGAAATTGAGGAAAATTGGGAGAAAATGAGGGGAAATTTGGGGAAAAATTGGAGGAAATTTGGGTGGAAATTTGGAGGAAAATTTGGGGGAATTTGGGAAATATTGGAGGAAAATTGGGGAAATTTGGGGGAAAATGGGAAATTTGAGGGAAAATTTAGGGAAAAATTTGGGAGGAAAATGGGAAAATTTGAGAGGAAAATGGGGAAAATTTGGGGGAAATTGGAGGAAAAGTGGGAAAATTTGGAGGAAAATGGGGAAAATTTTGGGGAAAAATTGGGAGGAAAATGGGAAAATTTGGGATGAAAATCAGGAAGATTTGGGTGGAAAAATTTGGGGAAAATGGGGAAAATTGGGGAAATTTGGGGGAAATTTGAGGGGAAAAATGGGGGAAATTTGGGGAAATTATGGGAAAATTTGGGGAGAAAATGGGGAAAAATTGAGGGAAAATCTGGGGAAAAATTGGAAGAATTTGGAGGAAAATGTGGGAGAAAATGGGGAAAATTTGGGGAAAAATTGGAGAAATTTGGGAAAATTTGGGGGGAAAAATTTAGGGAAAATTTGAGAGGAAAATGGGGAAAATTTGGGAGGAAAAATTTGGGGGAAAAATGGGGGAATATTTGGAGGGAAAATTTGGGGGACTTTGGGAAAATTTGGGGGAAAAATGGGGGAATTTGGGAATATTTGGAGGGAAAATTTTGGGAGAAATTTGGGGAAATTTGGGAAAATTTGGGGGAAATTTAGGAAAAAATTGGGAGGAAAATGAAGAAGATTTGGGGGAAAAATGAAAGAATTTGGGAGGAAAATTTGGGAGGAAAGTGGGGAAAAATTTGAGAGGAAAATGGGGAAAATTTGGGGGAAAAATGGGGGAATTTGGGAAAATTTGGGGGAAAAATTGGGGGAAAATTTAGGGAGAAAATTTGGGGGAAATTTGGAAAAATTTGGGAAAATTTGGGGGAAATTTGGGGAAGATTTGGGAGGAAAATTGGGGAATTTGGGTGGAAATTAGGGGAAAAATGGAGGAAATTTGGGGAAAAATGGTGTGAAATTTGGGGAAAATTTGGAGGAAATTTGGGAGGAAAATGGGGAAAATTTGGTAGGAAAATGGGGAAAAATTTAGGGAAAAATGGGGGAAAAATGAAAAAATTTGAGGAAAAAAAGGGATAATTTGGGGGGAAATTGGGGAGGAAATTTGGGCAAAATTTGGGAGGAAAATGGGAAAAAATTTGGTGGAAATTTGGGGTAAAAATGAAAAAATTTGGGGTAAAAATGGAGGAATTTGGGGGGAAATTGGAAATGGTTTGAGTGCTGTGGGCGTGGCCTAATCGCCAGTGGGCGTGGCCTAAGCCGCTGTGGGCGTGTCTAACCTTAAACCCCGCCCCCCTCCCCTCCCAGCAGCCAATCGCGGGGCCGCGGAGGCCGAAGGGGCGGGGCCCGGAGGGGGCGGGGCCTCCTCGGGGGGCGGGGCCTCCTCGGGGGGCGGGGCCCGGAAGCGTCGCTGGGGGAACAGCTCGGCCTGCGCCCCCCCCAAGAGACCCTCGATCAGCATCACAACGGACTCCCTCAAGGTTTGGGGGCATTTTGGGTCATTTTGGGGCTTTTTGGGGCTTTTTGGGGCTTTTTGGGGTGGATTTTGGGTTGGTTTTAGGGGCAGGTTTGAGTCACATTTTGGGGTCTTTTTTGGTCCAGTTTTGGTCCAGTTTTGGGGCACTTTTAGGGTCGGTTTTGGGGAGCATTTTGGGGTCATTTGGGTCAGTTTTGGGTCCAGTTTTGGGCTCATTTTGGGTCAGTTTTGGGTCAGATTTTGGGGCAAATTTGGGTTGGTTTTAGGGTCACGTTTTGCAGTCATTTTGGGTCAGTTTTGGGTCAGTTTTAGGGGCTGTTTTGGGTCACATTTTGGAGTCATTTTGGGTCCAGTTTTGGGGTCATTTTGGGTCAGTTTTGGGGCAGATTTTGGGTCAGTTTTGGAGCAGATTTTGGGTTGGTTTTAGGGGCAGGTTTGAGTCACATTTTGGGGTCATTTTCGGTCCAGTTTTGGGGCTGTTTTGGGCTCATTTGGGGTCAGTTTTAGGGGCTGTTTTGGGTCACATTTTGGGGTCATTTTTGGTCCAGTTTTGGGGTCATTTTGGGTCCAGTTTTAGGGCAATTTTGGGTTGGTCTTGGGGAGCATCTTGGGGTCGTTTTGGGTCAGTTTTAGGATCAGTTTTGGGTCAGATTTTTGGGTCAGTTTTGGGTCAGTTTTAGTGTTACTTTTTGGGTCAGTTTTAGGGTCAGTTTGCATCAGATTTTGGGGCTGTTTTAGATCAGTTTTAGGTCTGGTTTAGGGTCAGTTTTAGGGTCGGTTTAGGGTCAGTTTAGGGTCAGATTTTGGGTCAGTTTAGGGTCAGTTTTGGGGTCAAACCCCAAGAGACCCTCGATCAGCATCACCACAGACTCGCTCAAGGTAGGGGGGTTTTTGGGGGCATTTGGGGGATTTTTGGGGTCATTTTGGGGTGGATTCTCAGTCAGTTTTTGGTTAGGTTTAGGGTCGGTTTTGGGGCACATTTTTGGGTCGGTTTGGGGCTTTTTTGGGTCAATTTGGGTCAGTTTTGGGGCTGTTTTGGGTCACATTTTGGGGTCATTTTGGGTCCAGTTTTGGGTCAGTTTTGGGGCAATTTGGGCTTGGTTTAGGGTCAGTTTTAGGTTCAGTTTTGGGTCAGATTTTGGGGCAGTTTTAGGTCCTGTTTTAGGGTTAGTTTTGAGTCAGATTTTGGGGCATTTTTGGGTCAGTTTTAGGTCCAGTTTTGGGTCAATTTTGGGGCAGTTTTAGGCTCAGTTTTAGGCTCAGTTTTGGGTCACGTTTTGAGCCATTTTTGGGCTGGTTTAGGCTCAGTTTTAGTCTGGTTTAAGTCCAGTTTTGGGTCAGATTTTGGGCCATTTTTGGGTTGTTTTAGGCTCAGTTTTAGACCCAACTTTAGGTCTGATTTTTGGGGCGTGGTGGGCGTGGCTTGGACGAATTTGGGGGCTTGTCCATCCCAAGCCCCTCCCCCTAATTTGCATATCCAATGACAGAGCCTGATCCCGGAGATCCGAGGCGGGGGCGGGGCCGAAGTCCTGGAGCTCCACCCGGACGAGGGGGAGGGGCCCGAGGTGGGGGCGGGGCCTGAGGGGGCGGAGCCCGGCCCGGCAGGAGGAGGGGAGGAGCCTCCTGTGCTGGCCCCGCCCCTCAGCCCCTCCCCCACCAGGCCCCGCCCCTCCTGCCCCTCCCCACCTGGGGGCGGGGCACAACAACCCCCCCCTGAAGATCTGCAGGACCGTCACCCAGGTCAGAAGAAACCACGCCCACCTGACCTGAAACCACGCCCACCTGACCTGAAACCACGCCCACCTGACCTTAAACCACGCCCACAATCCTTAAGCCCCACCCACAACCTTCAAAGCCCACCCACAATCCTTAAACCCCACCCACTGCCCTTAAACCACACCCACCATGTTTAAACCACGCCCACAACCCTTTAAGCTCCACCCACAACCCTCAAACCCCACCCACAACCTTTAAGTCCCGCCCACAACCCTCAAACTCCACCCACAACCCTTAAACCCTTAATCCCTTTTTTCTCTGAAATTTTTCCTTTTCCCCCCCAAATTTTAATCCCTTTTTTTCCCTTAAAATTCCCTTTTTTTCCCCTAAATTTTCCTTTTTTCCTCTTAAATTTTATTTTCATTTTCCCTTTCTTTCCCCAAATTTTAATCCCTTTTTTTTTCCCAAATTCTCTTTTATTTACCCCAAAATTCCCGTTTTTTTTTCCCCCTTTTCCAGGTGGGTGCCTCGAGAGCGGGGGGGGTGAGGGAGGGCGGACGAGGAGGAGGAGGAGGAGGGACAGAGGGGAGAGGGGCAGGAGGGGCGGGGCCAGGACAAGCCCTCCCCCGCCCAGGAGGCCCCTCCCCAGCCAGGCCACGCCCGAGGGGAGGAAACAGGGTGAGTTGGGGGGAAGGGGGAATTTGAGGGAATTTTGGGGGGAATTTGGGGGAAAAGAGAGCAAAATTTGGGAGAGATTTGGGAAAATTTGAGGGGAAATTTGGGGGAAAAAGGGCAAAATTTGGGAGAAAATTTTGGGGAAAATTTTTTTGGGAAAAATGGCAAAATTTGGGAGGAAATTTGGGAAAAAAATGGGGGAAATTTGTAGGTAAAAGGCAAAATTTGGGAGGAAATTTAGGGGGAAATTTTGGGGAAAAAAGGGCAAAATTTGGGGAGGAAATTTGGGAAAATTTGGGGGGAAAAAGTAAAATTGGAAAGTTTGGGGGAAAAATGGGGAAAATTTGGGAGGAAATTTGGGGAAAATTTTTGGGGAGAAAATGGGAAATTTTGGGGGAAATTTTTTTGAAATTTGGGAGGAAATTTGGGGGTATTTGGGCTAAAATTTTGGGGTAAAAAAGACAAAATTTGGGTACATTTGGGGTGGAAATTTTGGGGTAAAAAAACAAAATTTGGGGTATTTGGGGTGGAAATTTTGGGGTAAAAAGGGACAAAATTTGGGGATATTTGGGGTGGGAATTTTTGGGGTGAAGAAGACAAAATTTGGGGATATTTGAGTTGGAAATTTTGGTTTAAAAAAGACAAAATTTGGGGTTATTTGGGGTGGAAATTTTGGGGTAAAAAGGGACAAAAATTGGGGATATTTGAGGTGGAAATTTTGGGGTGAAAAAAGACAAAATTTGGGGACTTTGAGGTGGAAATTTTGGGGTAAAAAAAGACAAAATTTGGGTATATTTGGGATATAAATTTTGGGGTAAAAAAGACAAAATTTGGGTACATTTTGGGCTGAAATTTTAGTGTAAAAAATGCCAAAATTTTGGGTTAAAAAGCCCTGAATTTTGGCATCAAAACCCCCCAAAATTCACCTTTAAAAAACCCCAAAACTTGGGTTAAAAACCCGGAATTTTATAACAAAAATTTGTGTTAAAAATATAAAATTTTGGGGTAAAACGACGCAATTTTGGGGGGGTGGGGAGGGGCTTTGTGGGGAGGGCAGCCCCATTGTGACCCCTCCCCCTTTCATTTTTAACCCTCCCCTCATTTTAACCCCTCCCCTCATTTTAACCCCTCCCCTCATTTTAACCCCTCCCCCTTTTTAGGCGAGGCCCCTCCCCCTCCCGACGCCCCCTGGCGCGGAGGGGGAGGGCGGAGAGGAGGGGGAGGGGCAGAGGGCCCTCCCCACCTTTTGCTGCCGGTGGACGAGCCCGTGCGGGCCCAGCCCCGCCCCTCCCCCGACAGCGCCCCTCCCCCATCGTGCACCTCTGCAAGCCTGGTACGGGGGAGGGCGGGACCCAAATTTGGGGGGAGGGCAGGAACCCCAAAATTTGGGGGGAGGGGCAGGACACCCAAAGTTGGGGGGGGGAGGGCGGGACACCCCAGAATTGGGGGGAGGGGCGGGACACACAAAATTGGGGGGAGGGCGGGACATCCAAATTGGGGGGAGGGCAGGACACCCAAAATTTGGGGGAGGGAAATGTAAAGTTTGGGGGTGGGGAGGGGGTAAAAGGGATTTTGGGGGTGGGGAGGGGTGGGACACCCAAAATTTGGGGGAGGAGAAAAGGGAATTTGGGGGGTGGGGAGGGGTAAAAAGGGGTTTGGGGGTGGGGGGAGGGCAGGACACCCAAAATTGGGGGAGGGTCAGGACACCCAAATTTGGGGGAGGGCGGGAACCCCAAAATTTGGGGGGAGGCGGGACACCCAAATTTGGGGGGAGGGCGGGACACCCAAAATTTGGGAGGGGGAGGGAAATTTGGGGGGAGTGGGGGAGGGAATTTGGGGGTGGGGGAATTTGGGGGTGGGAGAGGGAATTTGGCGGTTGGGGGAGGGCGGGACCCCAGAATTTTGGGGGGAGGGGCGGGACACCCAAAATTTGGGGGAGGAGGGAAAAGGGGATTTGGGGGGTGGGGAGGGCGGGACCCCAAATTTTGGGGGAGTGGGGAGGGAGAAATGTGAAGTTTGGGGGTGGGGGGAGGGAATTTGGGGGTGGGGGAGGGGAGATGTAAAATTGGGGGTGTGGGAGGGGAATTTGGGGTCGTTTTAGAGGATTTTGGGACCAACCCAAGAGTTTTTGGGGGCCATTCTGGGAGGTTTGGGGGCGATTTTGGGGGGTTTTGGGGTTTTTGGGGTAATTTTGGGGGGTTTTGAGTGGATTTTGGGGTGTTTGGGGGTGATTTTGGGGGTTTTCGGGGTGATCTTGAGGGTTTTTGGGGTGATTTTTTTCAGTTTTGGGGTGATTTTGAGTGGTTTTGAGTGGATTTTGGGGTGTTTTGGGGTGATTTCGAGGGGTTTTGGGGTGATTTTGAGGGTTTTTGGGTGATTTTGAGGGTTTTTGGGGTGATTTTTTGCAGTTTTGGGGTGTTTTGGGGTGCCTTTGAGGGTTTTCTGGGGTGATTTTGGGTGTTTTGGGGCCATTTTGGGGGTTTTTGGGTCAATTTGAGGTGTTTTGGGGCCATTTTGGGGGTTTCTGGGGTGATTCTGAGTGGTTTTGAGTGGATTTTGGGGGTTTTTGGGGTGATTTTGGGGGGTTTTGGGGTGATTTTTTGCAGTTTTGGGGTGATTTTGAGGGTTTTTGCGTTGATTTTGAGGGGTTTTGAGGTGATTTTGGGGTGTTTTAGGGTGATTTGGGGGGTTTTGGGGTGATTTTGAGGGTTTTTGAGGTGACTTTTTGCAGTTTTGGGTTGATTTTGAGGGTTTTTGGGGTGATTCTGAGGGGTTTTTAGTGGATTTTGGGGTGCTTTGGGTTGATTTTGAGGGTTTTGGGGGTGATTTTGAGGGTTTTTGGGGTGATTTTTTGTAGTTTTGGGGTGTTTTGGGTTGATTTTGAGGGGTTTTGGGGTGATTTTGAGGGTTTTTGGGGTCATTTCAAGGGTTTTTGGGGCCATTCCAAGGGTTTTGAGGTGATTTTTTGCAGTTTTGGGGTGTTTTGGGGTGATTTTGAGGGGTTTTGGGGTGATTTTGAGGGTTTTTGGGGTGATTCTGAGTGGTTTTGAGTGGATTTTGGGGTGTTTTGGGGCCATTTTAAGAGTTTTTGGGGTGATTTTGAGGGTTTTTTGGTGATTTTGAGGGTTTTGGGGGTGATTTTGGGGTTTTTTGGGGCCATTTTAAGGGTTTTTGGGGTGATTTTTTGCAGTTTTGGGTTGATTTTGAGGGTTTTTGGGGCATTTCAGGTGCATTTTAGGGGGTTTGGGAGCAATTTGAGAGGGTTTTGGGCCATTCCAAGGATGTTTGGGGCCATTTTGGGGGTTTTTGAGGTGAATTTTTGCAGTTTTGGGGTGATTTTAGTGGGTTTTGGGGTGTTCCAGGTGCATTTTAAGGTGTTTTGGAGCAATTTCAGAGGGTTTTGGGACCATTTTAAGGGTTTTTGAGGTGATTTTTTGCAGTTTTGGGGTGTTTTGGGGTGATTTTGGGGGTTTTTGGGGTGATTTTGGGGGGTTTTGGGTTGATTTTGAGGGTTTTTGGGGCGTTCCAGGTGCATTTTAGGGGGTTTTGGAGTGATTTAAGAGGGTTTTGGGGTTATTCTGAGTGGGTTTGAGTGGATTTTTGGGTGTTTTGGGGTGATTTTGAGGGTTTTTGAGGTGATTTTTTGCAGTTTTGGGGTGTTTTGGGTGATTTTGAGGGGTTTTGGGGTGATTTTTTGCAGTTTTAGGGTGTTTTGGGGTGATTTTGAGGGTTTTTGGGGTGATTTTGCAGTTTAGGGTGATTTAGGGTGTTTTGGGGTGATTTTGAGGGTTTTTGGGGTGATTTTTTGCAGTTTTGGGGTGATTTGGGGTTTTTGAGGTGATTTTGAGGGTTTTTGGGGTGATTTTGAGGGGTTTTGGGGTGTTTTGGGGTGATTTTTTGCAGTTTTGGGGTGTTTTGGTGTGATTTTGAGGGTTTTTGGGGTGATTTTGAGGGGTTTGGGGGTGATTTTTTGGGGTTTTGAGTGGATTTTGGGGTGTTTTGGGGTGATTTTGAGGGTTTTTGGGGTGATTTTGAGGGTTTTTGAGGTGATTTTGAGGGTTTTTGGGGTGATTTTGGGGGTTTTTTGGTGATTTTGAGGGTTTTTGGGGTGATTTTGGGGGTTTTTGGGGCCATTTTAAGGGTTTTTGGGGTGATTTTTTGCAGTTTTGGGGTGGTTTTGGGTTGATTTTGGGGGTTTTTGGGGCGTTCCAGGTGCGTCCCTTCACGCTGGGGCAGCTGAAGGAGCTGCTGGGCCGGACGGGGAGGCTCAAAGAGGACGGGTTTTGGATCGACAGGATCAAATCCCACTGCTTTGTCACGGTGAGGGGGGCTCAGAATCCACACAAATCCAACCAAAATCCATCCAAATCTGCCTAAAATCACTTTAAATACATCCAAATCCACCCAAAATCCACCCAAATCCAACTAAAATGCCTTTAAATTCACCCAAAATCCATCCAAATCCACCTAAAATGCCTTTAAATAGAGCCAAATCCACCCAAATCCACTTGAAATCCACCCCCAAATCCACCCCAAATTCAACCCCAAATCCCCCCCAAATCCACCCAAAATCCATCCCCAAAATCCACCCCAAATCTACCCCAAAATTCAACCCCAAATCCCCCCCAAATCCACCCCAAATTCAACCCCAAATCCCCCCCAAATCCACCCAAAATCCATCCCCAAAATCCACCCCAAATCTACCCCAAATCCACTCAAATCCCCCCCAAATCAACCCAAAATCCATCCCCAAAATCCCCAAATCCCCCAAATCCACCCCAAAATTCAACCCCAAATCCCCCAAATCCACCCCAAATCCCCCCCAAATCCACCCCAAAATTC